CAGTATGGCTCATTAGAAGTACTGAAAAGGGTATCTGACCCCAGGTGTCCAAACAGGTCAAGAGAATAAAAGATCGATGATGTTTAGAAAGAAGGCAGCACGTGTCACCTGTACAGAATGGGTAGGCCCTTGGGAGGGGAGGACAGGACTGGCTGAAGGCCACTCTTGGAGTTTTGACAGAAAATATATGGCTTATAATGCTCCAGATAGTTATTCTTGTTGCTTAACAGCAAAAAAAATTTGCTGACTTCTACTGTAAAACAATACAAGAAAATATAAACAGCCCAATAGAACACAGTGTTCACCACTAGATTCTCAAATATTTCAGTCTTACAATATCAAGTGTTGGTAAGATGGAGAGTAATACAGATTTGTTTTGTTTTTTTGAGATAGGCCTTAGCTCAGGTTGTCCTCAAATTCACTATCCTCCTGGTTCAGCCTCTGGAGTGCTAGAATTACAGCCATATGCCACAATGCCTGGCAAGTGATGGAGATTTTTATTGTTTGATGAGGGAATTATAAAGTACTATATACTACAAAGTAGTATAGTCACTTTGGAAAGCAATTTAGTAACATTTAATAATGGTGAATGCATATAATCTATGACCCAGAAATTTCACTACTGGACACACACACACACAAAATATACCTGGGCTAGTGGAGTGGCTCGAATGGTAGAATGCCTGCCTAGTAAGTGTAAGGCCTTGAGTTCAAACCACAATACTGCCAAAAATAAATAAATAAAAAGAAAAGAAAATATACACATTTTAAAGAAACTTGCATATACGAGCAAGGAAATATATATAATAATAGTCATAGCTGCATTGTTAGCAAAAAAAAAAAAAAAACCACTTAGTAGTAACCAAGTGGTTACTATAAATAAAGATTGGGTGTATTTTTTCTTTTTTTTTATGTGAACTTGACTGAACAAAGGATTACCAGCTAGCTGGTAAGACATCATGTCTTAGTATGCCTGTTTCTGAAAGAGATTAGCATTTGAATTTGTATACTGAGCAAAGAAGATGCCCTCTTTAATGTAGGTAGACATTAACCAATCCACTGAAAGCCTTCAGAGCACAAAAAGGTGGAAGAGGAAGGGTGAATTTGTTTTTTCTGTTTGTATTTGGATATCCATTTTAGGCTGCCCTCAGATTTCTGCCATACTCAAGCCTTCAGATTCACATCAGAACTTATGACTCCCCTGGTTTTCAACTGGGGTTTTGACTGGAACTAAATCACTGGCTTTCCTGAGCCTTCAGCATGCATATGGCAATCATAGAACCTAGCTTCTTTATTCACATGAACCAGTGCCTCATGATAAGTCTCTATATATCCTAACAGTTCTGCTGTCTAGCAAATACTAAAACACTGGGTATATTATTTAATTAATTAATCAATTAATTAAGGTGCTGGGGATTCACCCAAGGGCCTTTTGCACACTAAGCATGCAACTCTACCATTAAGCTATGTTCCCAGTCCCTGGGTATATTTTTTATATGGAATACAATATAGTAATAAAAATTAATTCAATGGCCACCTACATCATAGATATGGAGAAAGCTCATAAGTTGAGTGTAAGGAACAAGTTGTGGACAGTATTGAATGATATTATTTATGTAGATGATAGTATATATTGTTTAGGGACACTATGAAAAGCATTAAGTGGGGCGCCTATAATCCTATAGTTACTTGGGAGGCGGATACCAGGATGATTGAGGTTCTTCAAAATAACCAGAGCAAAATGGGCTGGAGGAATGGCTCAAGCAGTAGAGTGCCTGCTTTGCAAGTACAAAACCTTGGGTTCAAACCCCAGTCCCACCAAAAGAATAAAAAAATAAAAGCATTAAAAATGCATGAAAATTAATTACAAAGTTTAGGAAAATATATAATTCTCAGGAAAAGGAAGAAGAAAAGGAATGACTGGGGAGAAGTATAAAGGGGACTTCTGCCACATTTGTAACATCTTATTTCGTAAGCTGATTGCATTAAACACAGATTTTTTTTTTTTTGTAAGTCAGAGATATTTCACAAAAAGTGAAATTCTCTATGGCTGAGTACTTTTAACCTGTTAATCATTACAGCACTGTCCGGGAGACCCCACTGTCTTCCAGTGTTTGCTCCCTTAACAAAGCACCTTAGACCATACACCTAGCAAGTAGGGCCTCTACATAGTCTTATTGAGGTTCTGTTTACAAGCATGCCAGGGTGGGGAGGTGACAGGGTTAAAGTCAGTTTGTCACCAGTCATCTAGTCCTATGCCCTTTGTACCAGGGCACCAACGTGAGCATCACTGGAAGGAGATACTTTCTTCACTGCCCAAACACCCAGCAGTGTATGTAGAGCTACAGCCAGGTGACACTTATTTGCCCTTCCTTCCTTCCTTCCCTCTCTCCTTCCCTATTTCTTTCTATTTTTATTTGAGACAATGTCTCACTATGTAGCCCTGTTGTCCTTGACCTTTGATTCTCTTGCTTCAGCTTCCTGAGTGCTGGGATTATAGATGTGCACCACCGCAGAAAGGCTTTTAGGCTTTTTTTTTTTTTTTACACTTCTTACCTAACCAGTAGATACTACAAATATACTTATCCACAGCCATCAGAAACTAGAAAGAATGACCAGTGTGTAGGCAGAGACTATTAAGTTGACTTTTTGTACGTCATTTCTGTTTAATTTATTTTGATGTTGTTCCAGTCCTTCTGATTTAATTAAAAGCTGATCATTTCTCTCTCTTTTTGATGGATCTGGGGTTTTAACTAGGGCTTGCACTTGCAAAGCAGGTGTTCTACCAATTGAGCCAGATCTCCAGTCCATTTTTTTTTTTTTTAATTTTGGTGGTACAGGTGTTTGAACATGGAGCCTCTCACTTGTTAGGCAGGCACTCCATCACTTGAGCCACTCTAGCTCTCCTTTTTCTCTAATTATCTGGGATAGTACTTTGAATAGGGGGCATTTGTTTTGTTTTTATGATCTCTTGAGACAAATAATACAAGAGGTGAAGACTGTTAGGTCATTTTATCCTTAATGCAAAGCTCACATACTGTGGCAGTGATAAGAAATACTTTTAATAGATCTTACCTTCTCTCTTCACTCTCAGAGTCCTTTGTTTCTGATCTTTTGTCTTCCTGGATAAGATGCAAACTTGAATCCTTTTTTTCCTTTACATTCATGTGATTTGGCCTACTAAATCTTTTGACATTTTTAACCAAGCTTTGCAGATGATTTTTTTTTTTTGAGAGAAAGTCTCACGAACTCTTTGCCTGGGCTGGCTTTGAACTGTGATCCTCCTGATCTCTGCCTCATGAGTAGCTAGGATTACAGGCATGAGCCATGTGATTCTTATGATCACTAAAATCTGAAAAGCACTACTTTAGAAAAAGGAAATGAATTATTTGGTAGAAAGAAAATTAATCATCTACAATTATTTTAAAACTGCAGAAGAAAAGTGTTCTCTTGGCAAGAAAAATTCCATCACGTACAACAAAGATGATTTAAAGGCATTTATTTACTCATGAAAGTTGGTCAAAAAGAACAGAAATGACTTAGACACTGAAAGCCAAGTTAGGGAATCATCCTAGAACACCAGTCAAGGAGCCAGGAGTTAGGAGTTGTTCTGAAATGGTCTGAGTGCACAGTATCTGAGAGCTTCAGGTTTCTTATCTCTAAAACCAGAGGGTTACTCACTTTTCTTTAAATTCTCTTTCAACTCTACAGAGAGGTGATATATCATTCCTAAAACCTGAAGTAAGGCATGTCTGTATTTATTGACTCTCTAGCATAAATTTATAGTATGTTAGTCATGTGCCCAACCTGGCATTATTTTTACCATAAACTCTTGAATAGAAAGATAATGGAAAATTTTCATTTGAAAAAACTTCTAGGTCTGCATCAACTTGTCTTTAAGTTTACTTGCATGAGATGACTAGTTAACTTTATGATGGTGACATTTTAAAAACCATTCTTGCTTTAATTTAATGGGTTCATAAAAAGTGTCTCCAATATAGACTAAAACAACTCAAAGGCATAGCAGAAAGTAAGAAAGGAGGGACCCATAACGCTGCATTTTGTATGATTCTTCAGGGTCTTAGGTTGCAGAGAATACAAGTCCAGAAAAGAAGGGAATACTGATAATTACTTAACACCAACGTTCTCTCTGGTTTCTCAAAGGTACTCACTTAGCACTCAAATGTTTTGTTGTCTGGAGAAATTGTCCAGTGTGCAGAAACATCACCTCCTTTGAGCCTTACAACAGCCCTCAGTTTTAAGATTTTCAAGTGTATGAGAAAGCAGTCTGATTTGTATCGTGGATGATTAATCCCTAAGAATTAGCTAGCAAGTGTATATAAAGCTAAGTATAAAGACCCCAGGTAAAAAGTGAGATCCTGGAGGGGTACACTGTTTTAATTTACTACACAGCTAAAACTCAAAGATTTGGGTCAGATTGAAGGAAATGTTTCTCCTCTCCTTCAAAATCGTTTTGCCATTTGCACAGCTCCCAGTGTCCTGGCCCTTAGGAACAGCGGAGAGTCATTTGAAACTTAAACGAATGCTGGAGGCGAGTTTTACTTTTCAGGTCATTCAATTTAGGAGATCCAATTTCTGCCGAGGGAAGAAAGAGACGGGGTGGGGGAAGGAAAAACCAGACTCCTGGTCTTCTATCCTTTTACCTTCAATCCACAACCTGCCACGCAAATAGAGCCAAGTCAGGGATTTTGCTTGAACCACCACCACCACCACCACCTTGTCACTCACACCCGAGAAACACGCCCCTCTGGTCTCACTCTTGGCCAATGGCGGCTTCCTTGCCTGCATAATAATAAGCTCAAGACCTCCTCGGGCCAATGGCGCTGCGGGAGAAGGGTTAGTTTTGCATGTACCTAAGTGATTTGCATAACTCCGCGACTGGGGGCTTGGGAACCGGAGCGTGCAACCCTAGAAGGGAAAAGGACGGGAAGAGCTTGAGCTGCCGCGGAGAGAGAGCTAGAAAGAGCCTGGGTGTTTGTGCGAGAGCCGGGGCGGGGGCGGGGGCTGGGGCCAGGGGGCCGGCATGGCTGAAGGCTACGCTCCGCAACCTTGAAAAGCGGCTGCGGCTGGAGGCCGAGGACAGGGAGGAGGGTGCGATGGCAGAGCGCGGCCCCGGCAGCTGCGCCGGGCCGGGCGGGCTGGCCTGAGCTGCGGGAGGAGCGGGGCTGCCTCTGCGCTTCCATGGAGCAGCGGGAAGGGCGAAACTCCCCAGCGCCGCGTCCCTGCGCTGCTGCGGCGCGCTGCTGAAGGAATCGGTCCACGCGGATCGCCGCAGGAGCAAGCCCTCGCCCCAGCCCGCAGGCCGGCTGTCCCGGGGCGACGGGGGGCGTCGGAGGGCAGCAGAGGCGCGGGGAGCCAGAGGGGAGGCCGGCGCGGGCGGCGGCCGCAGCAATGCCGGGCCCGCTGGGGCTGCTGTGCTTCCTCGCCCTGGGGCTGCTCGGCTCGGCCGGGCCCAGCGGCGCGGCGCCGCCTCTCTGCGCTGCGCCCTGCAGCTGCGACGGTGACCGTCGGGTGGACTGCTCCGGGAAGGGGTTGACGGCCGTGCCCGAGGGGCTCAGCGCCTTCACCCAAGCGCTGTGAGTACCGGGTGGCGGGGATTGGGGGGATGGGGAACCCGCGGGGGGGGGCGCTGCGTGGGCGGAGCTGGTGCTAGATCCCACCCCCAGGGCCCTGGTGTCCTAGGGTACACCGGGCACCTGGCTGGGGAAGAGGGGGTGCTTGGCACCTTCTCCTGCGCTGCGGGCTCTCCAAACTTTGCCAGTCCGGGCCCGAGCCGCGAGGAGTTTTTCTTTGCTAGACTTTTCGGGGACCCTCACCGCACGCTCCCCCAAGTGATACCTAGGGCCAAGAAAGACGGAGGAATCTGGAAACGCTTGCCCCGGCAGCTTTTTCCACGCGACCTTCTTTCTCACGCGGTCCCCTGCTCGACCTGCGAAAGTTTGGCCACGCCGAGAACTTGGCCTGCAAGTATAGACTGAGGCGTGCTCATGGGGAAGCACCTGGAGCCCCCCTAGGTTCCAGCACGCGGGGAGAAGAAACACCTGTACCTGAGCCAGGCCCCATCCTTCCAGTTTGGCCCCATCCTGGCTGTACAACCTGACATCTCAGACCAGATCCACTCAACACACACGGGGTTCTGGGGCATTCAGGGGATCCTCAGAAAACAAGGGAGAAGGAGGAGGAAATTACAGCCTTGGTGCAAATGCTCTTCTTAGTCAATAAGGCCTTTTAAAGAAGTAATTCTGACCTGAGATAGAGGATGTTGGAAGAGAAAGTTTCAGAGCATGTGCTCAGCCCAGACTGCAAGGTGGGCAGACCTTAACCAACAGAACTTTTCTCTGAGGTCGGGAGAGTTGCTCAAAGGTTCTGACTTCCAGAACCTCTCTTCTCAAGAGACCTGACATCTTTAAACATTCCCCTTGGAAAGGAAGAGGAATGTGAAATAGGTGTTGGACGTGGTATTGGCCAATGCCACCAATAGCGAAAGAATGGAGTAATTGAATGCAGGACTACCTGTGTGCCCTCCTTCCTTCTTGTGTTGTGTGGCCAGTTGAATGATTACATCAGGAGCAGTGAAAGAACTGTTTGAAAGAGGAAGGGGTCTGAGAGGCCCTTGGGTCAAGGGAATTTCCTTTTACCTTACTGCGTCTAAAAGAGACCTCTTAGACTTACACTGTTTTAAAGGAATACCAGACCCTGTGAAGAAACTCCTTGTTAGGCAGGCCTGGAATTGTATCTCCAGGTGGGTGGTGACAAGGTGTTGTGCCGGCCCACTCCTGTTGGGGGGTTAATGAGCAATGAGGCCTGTTGCCTTGGAACCTGTTTCATTCTTCTACCCAAGTCCCCCTCCTTGTGTATGCTTTTGCCCCTGTCTCAGAAGTAAGTCATATATTTGAAGTCATTTTCCTTCAGTAAGATGAAGATCAACTTTTCACCAAAAAAGGTAACTGCATTATGGAGCATTTTGTTTAAGTGGCAAACTTTAAGCAGGAGTGGGGAGAAGTGAGGAATACAAGACCTGGTTAGAGGAGCTATTTTTTCTTTTCCCCAAATTCTTGAGAAACTTTTAGAGAATTTAGGTAAAAAGAGAAGATGACTTTACCTGAACCTCTGAAAAGGCTCTGCCATTAATAGAAATATATGATTTAACTACTTAGACTGATTGTAAAGGTCTTGTTTAGCAGAGTCCTCAAATTTTAATGAGTAGACTTGCCCCAAAAAGCAAAAAAGCTCGTTTTTCTGTTGGTACCTAAAACCAGAAAGAAATGTCACATTTTTATGACAGTATTTTCCTCTGTAGAAAGCATCAGGCATCCTGTACATCTCCCTGGAGGCAGTGAAATGCTGTATCTTCAACTTTGAGCCTCAGGAAAGTTACTGTTCATGGCTTGGGAAACAGAAAAATAGTACTTTCTGTGCTGCAGGGGTGAGCAAAGTGTTGTGTTTTCTTTGTGGCCTATAGGTAAATTGGCTATACATTGTGACAACTCTTTATTTCACTCTAATACTCCTTAATTCACCTTCAAAAGTATATGACCACTTTATATAAAGGGTTTTCAAAGGCAGTATATTTGCATTTTACTCATAAGAAAGCCAGCTGATTCTGAAGAGCCTTGTGGGAGGAGGGGCAGATGCTACAGATCTTCTCACTCCAGTCTACCTTACAGGATATGTTGGAATCATCTGGGTCTTTTTCCAGCTACATCCAGTCTGCTGCCCTGTCACAGTTTTGGGATGTGTGTAACTGACTTGCTAATGCTGTGATGGGCAGCTGACTGGATGTACTTGGAAAGAGACCCACATAGGTCTGTTGTCCCTAAGCTTTTGTTCATCTACTCTTCATTTCTGGATCATATTATATGTAAAATCACATGAAAATAGAAGTTAAAAATGAGTTCTTTATTTTCTTATAATTCCTCAATGACTTTTCTAGTGATAGTACTAGAAAAGTACCCAGGTGTGTTTGTTCCACTTGGGAGACCACAGGACTGACAGAGAATAGGGATTTTATTTCACTCAGTTCAGACTCCACAGAGCCTGGTACATAGGAGGCACTTGGAAATGTCAGAGAGAATAAACAAGGGCGTAATGCAACACTGAAGAGCAGAATTGGAGCCTAGAATTCAGACACCATTCCCACAGGAGGTTGTCAAATGCAGCTTTCTTAGCATTTAGTCTTTTATCCAAATTTGAGAAGGCCCCAGAGAGAGGATACCTGCTTCTTTCTACTTCAGGCTCGTTTAAACTTGTTCAAACTGTCTACTTCCTGCTGAAAGCTGCCTTACCTGAGTCTGGGGACTGAGGCAGATGTAATCCTTGGTATCTTGGCTGGTGGGATACCTGCCTTCAACACTACTTGCTGCACCTATAGTGATTGTGTTTCTGAACAACTGTTTTGAATCCTATGTCATAATTCACCCTGAGGCATGTTGAAGGAAGTGATCTTACTAATAATAAAATTCCCAAGAATTTAAAATTTAAAAGGATTCAGGGATAGTCCTGAGTTAGTGGGAATAAAGTCACTCTTAATCACCTGCATTCCAAGATTAGAGGAGAAACAAATGAAGTCATGTGGTGGGTAGGGGTTTGTGTAATTTATGTCCTCTGGTTTATGTGTTACTGCTATATGGTTTGAGAACCATAGACACGAACCTGGAACATGAATTTTTACATCTTAGATAGATTATGTTGGGCACGTAATTTTGAGGCTCTTTCTTTGGCTTCCTAAAAAAAAAAAATGATAGATTCAAACTCTTGATGATAGTCCTCACCTCACCACTAAGTAATTGTGTGGCCTTGGGCAAGTCTTTCTACTTGGTATTTGTTTTTGGTTTATGACAATATTTTTATCTGAAAAATGAAGCAATAGGATTCCCTACATTATCTCTAAGGCTATTTCTTGATTCTAGAAGTTCTATGGGTTTATAATTTTCACAGTTTTAGGAGGGCGAAGTAACTATAATGTTAGGCTCCTTTCATGAAAAGATCCTACTTGACTAAGTACAAGCTTGTTTACTACCATTCACTTGGAGGAGTTCTTCTTTGTGTTTAGAAGTGTGTATTAGGAAATTTGCCATGGAGACTTGTTGCAGAATGTATGAGTAGCTGAGGGCTTTGCTAGGGTAGAATAGCCCTGCTTGTTTCCTGTGGGTATGGCTTAACACTTGGAAAATAAAATCACTCTGTTTCAGTAATTTGGATACCGTACAGAAAGTTACTCAATGTCCTCACTTCCACATAATTAGTCATAATCACTCAAGCCTTTAGTGTGTGTCTCCTGTACATGAGCTAGTTATAAACCTTTCAGTATGGAAGTGGTGGTTACCTGAAGGGGTTGAAAATGTTTTTAAAGAATCTGTTGCTTTTTCTTCTCCTTTTGGAGACATCATCTAGGATTTTTCTCCAAGGTGTGTATTTTTAGTACTCCAAAAACCTTCATTCTTTTACTGGTATCATTTGAAGGTATTTTCTTACATTACCTTCCAGTGTCTACAGTGTATTCCCTGGCAGGTAAGGTCAGTAATCAATGGCTAAATGTTTGTAACTCATTGATGGTGGAGTGTTGATAGCTTTTGATTTCTGAATTGTCATTTAGAATTAGTTTAGTGTATTTTCTCTTTCTAGAGATATATTAATTGTATGTACAAGTGAACTTGAAAGCAAGAAGAACATAATATCTTTCAGTATAGATCCTTATTTTACAAACCAATAGGTTCTCTTTATTTTTATTTTTTACCTTTGATTTTACATGTGGTTGGTTTCTCTTTAAATAGAAGAGAGAAGAGCATGGGTGTGGGGGGAATAGAAGGAACCGAGTTCCAGATCTGTCAATAATTTACAGGAGTAACCTTGAGTGAGTCATGTGCCCATCCTTTCAGGGATTTAGCTTTCTCATCTGTAAAATAAAGATGACAAGAACTCTTACTGACGAGAATTTTCTATTTGGTTGTAACATGCATTTATTTATTTATTTATTTATTCATGTATTTATTTACAGTGAGCTCAGGGCCTCAGGACCTTGCATGCTAGGCAAGTGCTGCTCCACTAAGCTAAACTCCCACACAAGATTTGTTTTACTTTTATGTAGTTCGGAAGGCTTCTCTCTCGTATTAAGCAAAGTTTGGGTGTATAAATCATGGGATCTCTCATTTACCCAGTAGACTGCTCCAGTTGAACTGGAGTATTTCTATCCAATGGGGAACTCATGTCTCAGAAAGCAACACCTTGCTGGAAGGAGTTGGAGTGGTACTTAGAACTCAAACCAGGAATTTGTTTGTTCCATGCTCTTCAAGGCTTTAAGTAGCCAATGATACTTGAGCCAGTGATGGTGTCACAAGTATATAATGTCCAGGCACTTGGCTCTTAACGTTAGAATTGTAAGGTAATATTTGACAACTTAATCTCTCAGGAGAGATCAAAGATCTGTGTTAGTAGGTGGATGCAGGCAAGTTTAGGCATTTTCTCGGCCTCTGTCTCTGTCAGTCTGTCTGTCTCTTATATTCTTATTTTAGTCATCTTTATAGTGGAGAGTACTGATAGCCTGCAAGTTTGGGTTTTAGTTTCTGGTCTCCGTGGC